GTGTCTCAGTCAAAGTGTGAATTAAATTCACAATTAAAACCTGTTTTGTAAAAACTAAAAGCGTTAAAACATTCATCAGTTCTTGAGGGAAAAAATTCTTCCTTTTGGGAGAGCAAATCATTTGAAAAACTTACCTCATGATTGGTAAATATTAACGTTCTTTTAGGGCTTTGCCTTCTTGAAACCTTAAATTTGTCTGAATTATTTTCTACATTTGCGAGAATGGTTGAATGAAATTCAGACAAATTTAAGGTTTCAAGAAAGCAAAGACCTAACAGAACGTTAATATTTACCAATCATGTGGTGTCTCAGTGAAAGTGTGAATTAAATTCACAATTAAAACATGTTTTGTAAAAACTAAAAGCGTTAAAACATTCATCAGTTCTTGTGAGAAAAAATTCTTTCTTTTGGAAGAGCAAATCATTTGAAAAACTTACCTCATGATTGGTAAATTTTGGGAAAATAATTCAGACAATTATTTTCTACATTTGCGAGAATGGTTGAATGAAATTCATACAAATTTAAGGTTTCAAGAAGGCAAAGACCTAAAAGAACGTTAATATTTACCAACCATGAGGTAAGTTTTTCAAATGTTTGGCTCTCCCAAAAGGAAGAATTTTTCCTTCAAGAACTGATGAATGTTTTAACGCTTTTAGTTTTTACAAAACATGTTTTAATTGTGAATTTAATTCACACTTTGACTGAGACCCAGGAAAGATATGAATATAATAGCAAGTACACGCAGTCAGGAAAATAAAAACTATTGAGTTTGTTTGCTGTTGCAGATTTATGATGTAAATACGGGCACGGCCATTGTGAAACTGGCTCCACAATTAAGCAACCTCTACACGAAAAACAAGGCGACATTTAGTTGGAACGACGAACTAGTGCTGACTGACGGCGTTCTGTACGATGTGAATTCCGGCAAGGTGATCAATCGGCTGGATAAACTGAATCAGACTCAGAACGGCGTGTTTCATCCGAACGGGTTGGAGGTACGAATGCCGATAGCTAAACGATTAGGGTGTTAGTAGTGTGATTGTTTCAGATAATTTCCAATACGGAGGTGTGGGATATTCGGACAGAGTCCAGTACGCTGCATCTGCTCAAGACCGTTCCGGTGCTCAATCAATGCTCGATTATTTTCTCCCCGGTTAACAGTGCCCTCTACGCCATCTCAATGGAGCAGGAGATGGACGACGGGGACTCCTCCTACGATTCGAGCTTTAAAACTGTCGACTCCAACGACTATACGAGCATAGGTAAGCAACGCCCTCTCAAAAGATGCTTGGATAATACAGGGTATTAAACCGACCCACAGCTACCATCGAAGTGAAAAAGAACATTTACGACCTGGCGGTGAACAGTTACGACACGCAGATCGCGCTCATTGAGAATCAGGGCATGTACAATTCGGTGCAAGAGTCAGTGGTAAGACTGTACGACGTGGGTAGACAAAGAGACGACGAGGATGAACAGGTGAGTTGAATAAACTAGCGTTGAAGTTTGGCTATGTGCACATGAGTGGGTTTTAGGAGGAGGAGGACGAAGACGACGAAATGGACAACAGCGACGACGACGGATCCGATGCAGGCGGTGAGCTTTTTTTCGATTTAACAGTAATTTGAGCTGGTGCCTCTAACCCGCTGATCAGTCAGACGCTTTCTCCAATAGAATCCAAGTTAAAAAGGCCGCTTACTAGCAGGTATTAATTGTAGATCGTGTCATCATAAATTTAGGCGGCAGCGACGATAACAATGCCAACAACGAGGAAGAGCGCGGCAGCAACAACGGGCGCGCACACAATCGCACCAGCAGCAGCAGCAGCAGTAGCAGCAGTGACGATTCTTCTTGGACGTCTTTGTCGGGTTCGGATGATTCGGGCGACTTTCTCCTGCAGGAACTTCTCTAGTGCAGCCGTTGACTAGAATGTGTGTTAGTGCAGTGCGGTCGGAATCATCGCGCCGCTTTGAAGATTCGAATCGAAATGACAGAATCCTGCTATGGTCAGCTGCTTGGACCAGACTAGAGTTCGCTTCTCTTTGGGGAGTCGTCGCTCTTTTTAATTGTAAAGCAGTGCTTGGTTTTTTAATTATACAGTTCTTTAAACGAAAACCAAAATCAAAGACTTTTGTTTCCCAGTTTTAGCCATCGGAACACTTGGAGTACACCGAGCTACAGTCTGTCCCAATAACTGTCCTGCTTTTTCAACATAATGAACGTTACGCAACCAAATTTGGACTAACTTTGGAACTGGATAATGGTTTCTACTAGAAGTTATCTAGCACCAGTTGTGTCCTCTTAGTCCATGTGGTGGTAAAAATTCAACACATCAGATAAATAAATTTCCTACAGGGTGGCAAATTCAAAAGTTTGACGTGCTCCTAGTTGGACAAAAAAGGTTTTTTGCATCACAACACCAAAACGTACAACCAAATAGCGAAACGGTTTTGGAATTTTTTGGCCATCTCTTCTACTTACAGCGTGGTCTCAAAAATCAACTTTTTGGTCTTGCTACTCGATTGATTTTCACCGTCTAGAGCTCATGTTGGAGCTTAAACTTCATGGGCAATTTAAGACAAAAATTATTGTGATAAATCTTTGCCTGAAAAATTACCCAAATCAAAATTGCTCCCGAAATCTGTGATTGTAGGCTTTCAACTGAAGTGCAGTGTACTTTCGACTATATTCGCAACATGGAATATTTTTTTTTGTTAAGTAGAACTGTGAAGTTTTCGCTTCAAGATGAGCCCTGAATTTTGAAAATTGGTTCATGAGGAGAATTATTACAAGGCCAAAACGTTGATTTCTTAGACCACTCTATAAATACATGAAATCAGCAAAAATGCAAAAAACATTTGTTTGTTTTATCCAACGTTGAGCATGTGAAACTTTCTCCAATTCCGCATTGTTTCATTTGCCACCTGATAAATAAATAAAAAAAAATGAAAACACAATTGCAACAAAAAGGGAGCGAAAATGTTCAAAAAACAATTAGAATTTGCGTATTTTGCCCACCTCAGAAAGTCCCTTAAAGTGAACACACACTAGTGGTTATTCCATGATGAACAAAAAGTGTAGTAAAAATGTGAAACAATGACTTAAAGAAGAAAAATATTGGATATCGGCCACAAAAACTGAAATATTTACAAAAAAACCATTGTTAATTGGGCATACCCAAAATGCTAAAGTGGTGATTTAAATTTTTGCGTTTTGCGTAAAAAGTAGACATTCCTAAAATAATGTTTAGGCTGAAAAATGCCCATTTAACGCTCTATCCAGCAATGAGAACTAGAGCTTTGCAGCTCAACCGATTCTCTAAATATACGCGAAAGACTAAGAGCAGTTCTCAAGACCGTTTTTATTTAAAATTATCGCATTTTGTCGAGAAGTGCATCAACAACATCCAGAATCTGTAGGTTCTTTATACCAGGAAAATAGAGCGCAATTATTTTTTAATTGCTATTTTCTGGTCGCAGAAATAAGCACGCAGAGTCATATTCAGCAAAAATTGCGTGTAAATAAAGCTACGTGCTTTATTGAAGCGACTAAAAAAGCAACTTGGTTATTCTGCGACTAAAAACTTATGCATTTTCCAATGTACTGCTTGGAATTTACGAACTAAAATCGAATATTTTTATATAATAATAGAAAGTAGCAATAACAACTGATCCTTTAATGCCCGATTTGTTAGCCAATAACTGAAGGTCACAATTATTGCAATTGTGTTTCACATGTTGAATGCAACAAATTAAGCAAATTGATGAAGAAAATTAGTCTTAAAAATAGTCAAGATTCGACTAAAAACTTCTTTACCTCGAAATTGTAACGAACCGCATAAAGATAATTTCATTGGAAGCGAGTAGGCCTGGGTAGCACTGTGTTGAGTTGCGCTATTAAGGAGTTTTTGCCGCTCTCTGAGTTAACGCGTTATAACTCATCGGTTAATGAGTTATAATTCATTTGTTAAAGCTTTGCGAGACCCGAGACTGGAATTTTTAAATCTAAAAAAGAGTTATTAACATTTTTTCTGAGTAACTTTTTACTACTTAGTTCAAACAAGTAAAAAAAAAGTGTTTCCTAGCAACAGAACTGAGTCCAAAGAAAGTCGACGCGTTTTCTTGTTAAATCGGTAGTTTTTTGCATAAAAAGTTCAATTTGTCAGTATTTTACAGTAAGACGTTAGGAAAACGCGGTTTTTCTGTTTAGGTACAGTTTTGCTTAGAAATATTGACCTAAAAGTGAAGAAACTCCAGTTTCGAAGAATTTTCCAAATAAATGATTATAAACTTTCGCTTTTTCAGTTCCGGAAAATATTTTTGGAAAAAGACCTCGAAATAATTATTAGGGTTTTGTCCATAATGAAGCTGCAAAAAGTTTTCCAAAATGTTTGCAAAGCGGTTAAGGAGGCGAGGGTTCGAATAAAATATATCTTGTAATTTTTCACAGAAAATACCTGAAGATTGCCAGTATTTTAAGTWAAAYTAAAAATAATGCAATTTTTGCGTAGAAAGAATTSCTTAATAAAAACTTTGTTATAWMTCGAATGAATTGAAAATTTACAGGAACTCCAGAAGACTTCAGAGCGATGAGTGTGGCGAATTTTTCCAATAATTTTTKGKAAATTTTTGCTCTGGTCGTTTTTGCCAGATAATCTTAATTACTTTCGGTAAAAAACTGAATAAAATTATTCGGTTTTTGTGCCAAATTCGAAGMTAAAATGSGTTTTCTAAAGTTMCCTGYAAACCGATGAATGGGGMGAACTTTCTAGCGAAATTAATGTTGTTATTTTTGACTGAAAACATCSTACTATTGTCAAAAAAGAAGAAAATMATCAGAAAATAATGCTTTTGTGCGTTTTCGAYWAAAAAMTYTTAGTTTTGTGATCGGTTTTGGAGAAAACCTTAATGGTTTTTGGGAAAAAGCGATAGGAATTTATTTTCGTTTTTGTCCCCAATTTGACGCTRAAAATAGCTTTTGTAAAMTTTTTACAAMSCGATAAATTTATCTTGTAACTTTTCRCGTAAAAGTCCACCAGATCGTCAGTATTTTTAAGTGAAACTCYACAAAATAGAGCGTGTTTGAGTAGAAAGTAAAGCAAAAAAAAATCGGTCAAAACTAAAAAAAACACACRCAYACATTTTTTAACAAATTCTTSAGTMTTCAGAAGAATGGAGGTGACKAGATTTCCAAATAATCTGTTATAAACTTACGCTTATTCTGTTCGTTTTTTGATAGAAAATTGTTTGATTTTTGTTTCRAACCTGGCAAGGAATTTSAAAACTTTTTACAAAGCGACGAAGKATATTTCAAAAAATTCACGAAATGTATTTCATAATTTTTCGCGGAAAATACCTTAAGATTGTCAGCATTTTTAAGTGAAGCTTTAGAAAATCGAGCATTTAGAAGAAAGAGTAACTTGGCTAAAACTGAAAAATTCTGAAATTTGAAGACATTTAAAAAATATTATTAATAAATGGCATTTAAAATAAATTTATTAAACCTGGCCCATATTAACTCTTGGAAAACGGTCCAGCCACTGTCCAGTGCCATTATTATAAGCGAAACTTCTCAAGGCTCCATTTAACGGTTTTTTGTTGAAAAAAATGACAAACTTTGTACAATTTGTAACAATTCATCTGAAAACTGTGAGCATTTTCGTTTACCGCCAACGTTCTATAGCCAAGCGCTTCAAAATATTCAAGAACCGACTGAAAACATTGAAATTCAAATCGGGGCTAAATACAGTTCCCAAAGCCTGCAGGGCACCCAGACCTGGCCCTTGTTAACTCTTGCAAAACTGGCGCACAGTCTAGCCACTAGCCAGTCCCCCATTATTACACGCAAAAACTCATCTTTCTCAAGTAAATCGGCTTCAAACTCCTAATGCCGGCCATGGACGCGCGGGTAACTCAACTGTGAAGTGCGCCTTTGAACCGGCCGATAACCGGCAATCTCGGAATATGGAGCAAGTTCAAAAGTCCCTCAAACATCGTTAACAATTACCGACTAAACTGAAATATTTACGCGAAAAAAATTGTTTGTTTACATAAGCATGCTGATGTGTTGTGTTAATGTGTCAGTGGAACTGGCGAGGAGGATAAAAATTATTGCTATTTTGCAGTTAAAAATATATACATCATGTGGAACAGGGCAGGTGCTGGGGCGTTGAACGCTTCCAGGTTCAAACACTATTAAAACAGCCAGTTGGGGTTTAATGGCTTCTATCGAGAGATTTAGAGCGGCCTTAAAGACATGCAGTTCAAATGTTTATTAAACAAAACTAGTGTTAATTGCTGGCGAGCCTGGGAATTTTTTACTTTGCGAGTTTGTGTTAGGGATGGTAGGTATTTAACGTAACCGCTAAAATAACAGTGTTCCAAACGTCGAACGATCTATTCAGTTGCAACAGTTTGCCGACTTAAACCGTTCTTTTTGGAACCGTCTCATTAAACAGAAACAGTTGTGCGCACTTTGCACCAGCTGCAACCCAAATAGCACAAAATATTACATACATATTTAGGAAATATTTATATATTTGGTAAATATTTCAGATCAAAAGCAAGTATTTCTTAAATATTTGTTTCTAATATTTAATTAGCATGAAACAAATAAGTTATTAATAATTTTCTT